CTTCCATTTTGAACCCACCTTTGGCAAAGTAGGAAGGAACGATTGGCCATCGGTGATCGGTCCTCTGGGAACAATGCTCCGTCCTCTCGAGGACGCGTGGTCAATGGCCTAACCGCTAAGGCACGCAAAACATAAGAAGTACGCCCCTCCCCACCCAACTGTCTAACGACTACGGCATGCAAAACATGAATTCCCCCCCCCACCCCCACCCCCCCCACCCCCCCCACCCCCCTCCTCGTCAACGCTTGCCGAAAGGCGCTGGGACTAGCCTCGGTGGTGATCGACGGCCTCAAGACCCGCCCCCTCCCCCCCAACCTGTGGCCGGAGGACCGCGTGGTGGACCTGTCTCTCCGGGGGGGCGGCGGGAACGAGGCCGGCACTACCGCCCTCGACCTTAGCAGCACAAGCGACAAGGGGGCTACGGGGGCGGGGGAGGAGGGTGAGAGCGGGAGCGAGAGGGTCTTGGGGCCCGAGTACCGGCGGTCGCTGGCGTGTCCCAACCCGGAAGAGACCAACTCCGCGGTGGAGTTGACGTTCCAGGTTCGTGCGTGCGTGTGGGTTTCGTAAAACGGTATGGTCTTCTTCCGTGGGATACCGGCGGTTTGGTCGTTGACGTGTCCTAACCCGGAAGAGACCAACTCCGCTGGCGTGTCTAAACACGGAAGAGACCAACTCCGCGGTGGAGGTGACGTTCCAGGCGCTGGTGTGTGTGTTTTGTGAAACGGTACTCTTCCCTGGTTCGTTTTTTTTTACGTGTATCACTGCTGTGTTGCTTATTTTTCCCTCCCTTGCTACTTGTTGACGTGGCCATTGTTGTTGTTGTTGTTGTTGTCGACGTCTTGACGTTCAAAACTGTCCCGACCTTTTGCCGGCATTGTGTACCCTGTGCACCTCGTTGTACTCCCTTGCTACATACACACTTCAGCCGTTCCAAGAACCCAATGTCCGCGTTCGGTCGGCCAAGGCCTAGGGTATACCCCAAAATGACGTACACGTACGATATGATTTCATGGAAGGACCAAGAATAGTGCCACATTGAAGAACTGGATGCTTCTCTTACTAAATCCCAGTGATAGTGCTCTCTCACAACCATTGGCGTGGGCGCCCTGCGTTCACCCGTGCGGCGAGGTTTTCATTTGCCCAACATACTCTCTTCTTGATCCACCTTCCGTTCTTATGCAGCAGGATGCCACGCGATGCAGTCGCTTCAAGTTTCAAGCTTCCCCTAGTCCATGGATATTCGTTAGCTCAAGGAATGATCCATCTATCCCCCCTCGGGTATTCTACTGCTGAATGGCAGTTTTTTTTCGAACGATGTACCTAAACCTTTGCTTCCTTTAAATGAAATGTCTGCCTTTTACGCAGATTGATGCGCTACTGAAAGACTCTGATCGGAACACCGACACCGACTTGTTTTGTTTTGTTTTGTTTTTCTATAAAGGTTTGCTTGGATGGGGTGCGAGAGCGAGCGTTGCTGAATCTCTTCACTCACCTCGTCAAAGACAAGTGCTTCGATCATCTACGGACCAAGGAGCAGCTAGGGTAAGATCTAAGTTGGCAGAATAGAGGCAGGCTTTATTAAGGGTTAGCTTCAGTTGACTTTCGGGCCGAGAATAAGCTATGATTCTTAAGCCCCTAGGCGTCAGAGAGCTAGGGTAAGATCTAAGTTGGCAGAATAGAGGCAGGCTTTACTAAGGGTTAGCTTCAGTTGACTTTCGGGCCGAGAATGAGCTATGATTCTTGAGCCCCAAGGCGTCAGAGAGCTACTGTAGCAGATCGCGCGATATTGTACCCAACACAAGTATTTGTCCAGGCTGTGCGCTTGCCAAGCCTTTCCCTTGCCAACCCGCTTTCTGTATGGTTCATTATAAGCGGGCTTGAGATGAGCGCGGGCGGCATCCGCCCACGAGCTGTTTTAGATATCTAAGGGTTGCTTCGATCGATCATCTCCCGACACAGGAGCAGCTAGGGTAATTTGTAAGCTCGTACGCTATAAAGTTGCTTCGATTGGCCTGGGGATGAGGAGCAGTTCGGCTTTTAGCTCTGTATCATCTTTCTCGATGGTTACAGAATAACTGATCAATTCGACTGGCCTCGGTGATGCACGCGCGCGCGCGCGCGCGCGAGCAGGTACTTGGTGTGGTCTGGCGGCAGTGTGCACGGGGGCTACGTGTACAACGCCCGCTTCATCGTTCAATCGAACGACCGGAGCCCCCGCTACCTGGACGGTCGGGTGGAGTCCTTTATCGCTGGGTTCAGGGAGGTGAGAGAACGGGTTTCTTTTTTCTTTTTCCAATGTGCAACTGCTGTGGGACCCTTGGAAGAACATCAGTCCATGAGTGTACCATGTCCTGACCCCTACGTGTAACATTTTTTTGTATTTCCTAGTTCGGGTGGCGGTTGATCTCTTTCGAAGACGAAAAAAAAAAACTCAGACCACCCGTCCCCCTCGCCCATGGCCCACAATTTTGAACCTTTGCAGACGAATTTGTATCCCCCCCCCCCCCTCCCGATTGAGGGTTTTCGTCACTTGGCAACGACGTTGTAAAACCAGCCCCCCCCTCGGTGTTTGCCATCGGGGTTTGGGTTTTCGTCGCTTGGCAACGACGTTGTAAAACAAGCCCCCCACTCGGTGTTTGCCATCGGGATTGGGTTTTCGTCGATTGGCAACGACGTTGTAAAACAAGCCAATTCACTTCGTGAACTCGGCAACCAGGTTACCGTCTTTTTTTTTTACCTCTGTTTTTTTTTTTGGCGGTAACCATAATGGTGGTCGAGTAGATCATGTTGTGCGGGGTCGAGAAACCTCACTCCGCGCAACGGGGGATGATCGCACCACGTTGTGTTAAAATGGTCAAGCTTCCTCGAGGCAGTTACACAGTGCTTACAACTGTCTCTGGAAGTGAAAGCACCAGAAAATAAATTAAGTCATACGTAGCTGTCATCCGTACGCAAGGAAGTAAGCACAAGATGCCGAACACCCTTAGCAGGATGCAGCTCACCCTTCATGCGACTCGCCAAATACCTCACGGCGCTTCGCGCTTGGTGATGTGAGAGCCTGGTCCGGTGAGAACCCGGCGTGCTCCGTCCCGGCTTTGTAGGGATGCGAGGTCAATGGTCAAACGACTACGGCATGCACGACTATGAGTACACCCCCCCCCCCCCCCCCCC